CCACCTGGCCTGGTTACCTCTACCTCTGTCTCTGCTCTTCTCCTCTGTCAGCTGCTTTCCCTCCAGACCCCTCCACTCCCGCCATCGGCCTCTCCTTGGACCTCGGCCTCCCCCTTCACTCTTTTTCCAGACACACACACACATATTTTCCAGACAAGTCAGCCTTTATTTCTGAAAATAATTTTGTAGCTTCCACTTTATTCCATGAAACTGAGGTCAGGCAAGAGACAAAGCACACACATCCCCACCCCCGCCACGCCATGGCACACCAGCCTGAGGCCAACGGACTGGGCCCCGCCAGAGGCGTCCTGGGCCTGGCTGCCCTCCCTCGCACAAGCGGGTCACCGGCGTCACAGCCACAGGAAGAAAAAGGGACACACGGAGCTGTCTTCCCTCAAGCCAGCGTGGAACCCTCCTAAAGCAACAGGGAGGGGACTGGTTTCCAGAAAGGAGGGACTCGGGACTTGTCTTCGGGCAAGAGGAGGGCGAGGCTGCCCAGCACCAGGCTCTGTGCCCTCGCCTCCCCCTGCCAGCCGGTGTGCGCGCTTAGGTCTTGCCTTCCTGCAGCTTCCCGGCCCAGACCACACTCGGCCGCAGGGACGGGCAGAGGGGTCGGCTGCGGGAGGAAGGGCAGGGCCTGAGCCGGCCAACCCAGCAACTCCACCCTGGCCGGCGGCAAAGACCCTTTGGCAAGTCTCATTCTGGCTACAGGGGTGCCCCTGCTCCCCTAACCCAGCCCCCGACTGGGGCAGCGAGGGCCGGAGAAGGGGCCTGGTCGAGACAGCCAAAGGGCCCGCCCTCCCACAGATGCCCAAGAGAACGCTCAGGACCAGGATGTGGACACTTCTGGCCCAACAAGCCAAACACCCCCTCCCACCACATAGTGGTTTCTGGCCTAACACCCCCAGCTTACCCCAGGATGGCTCTCCCGACCTGACTCCTTTGAGAACGGGAGTAATCACCTCCTCCTCTGTGCACGGACGCCACTCGCGGAAAAAAGGAAAATCGGACCCGAGAGGGACGCACAGACAAGACAGCCGCGCCGCGCCCGCCTCGGCTCAGCCGCAGCTGGAGGGCCCAGGAGCCACAGGCGGGGCTAGTTCCAGCTGGGATCGTAGCCGTCCCAGGTCTGCGGGGGCGCCAGGTGGACCCGGCGGCCCCGGAACTGGAAGGTGACGACGCCCCGGTAGCCGGCCCTGGGAACGCCCGACTTGAGGTCGTCCATGACGCCCAGGGCCTTGGCGAAGGCCTTGAAGCTGTCCCTGCCCGTGTACTGCACCCGCACCTCCCCCAGCTCCTTGCGGTCGTTGGCCCGCACTTTCTCCACCTGCAGCTGCGGCGCGCCGTAGACGCGGGCCAGGAAGTCCCGGTCGTAGGCCTCCCGCCGCAGGTAGGAGAGGTCCAGCTGGGTGAAGGGCACGAACTGCTGGTTCAGCTTGATGAACTTGAGGTGCTGGTCGAAGAACTGCCCGTGGCTCACGCCCTTGCGGCCGAAGGTCATGGTCCGCGAGATCTCGGGGCGCACACAGGCCCGCCCCCGCCGCTGCTCGGGCCGGCGCATCCAGTCGTCCCAGAAGGCCTTGGGCCACTTGGGCTCCAGCTCGGCCCAGAGCTCGGCCAGCAGCAGCCAGCCCAGGCCGGGGAAGAAGTCCGTGCGGTACAGCAGCTCCGGCCGGCTGGCGTCCACCATCTGCTCCTTGCCGTTGTCATTCCAGGCGGACACGCACCAGAGGGAGGGGTCGGCGCGCAGCAGCGGGTAGGTGGCCTGGAAGTACTCGAAGAAGTCGGGGGCCACCTCCAGGTCGTCCTCCACCACCACGGCGGCCGGGAACTGGAACCGGCGGAAGACCTGGCCCAGCGCCCAGCGGTAGTGCCGGGCGATCTTGTAGTAGCCCTGGAACTTGCGGTGGTCCGGCGGCACGGCGATGCTGCTCAGGTCCGGCTGCCGGATGTGCGTGACC